AAAAAGGACGTATTTCTTCCCTGTATTAGTTAAAAGATTGGAGATATTTTTCACTCCCATCTTTCTCTGCCTTCTCAGTCTTTCTGATACTACATTTTCTTGTATCTCCCCCTCCTCAAATACATCCTTTCCTTTTGCATGGCTTCTGCCTATGTGCAGATCATAATTATTTTTTATTTGGATGATTCACAAGTTTTCAAAAAGCCCCTCTGTGTGCTGTAATTTCATTTGATCCATCTACTGTCATCTGGATGTTTGTGTCCCCACAAAATTCATATGTTGAAATACTATATGTTGTGCTTTTAGGCAATTAATACTGAATACTGAGGCAACTACTACTAACTACTAAGGTAATGGTATTAAGAGGTGGGGACTTATGTGGCGACTAGATCATGGACTGTTGTTGAAGGCTGGGATCAGTACCCTTACAAAAGCAACCACAGAGGCCTGGATAGCACTTTTTACCATGGAAGATGTATCTGTGGACCAGGAAGTGGTCCCTTGCCAAACACTGAATCTACTGGCATCTTAATCTTTGATATCCCAGTCTCTGGAAATGTGAAAAATAAATGTCTGTAGTTTATAAGCTTCCCAGTTGTAGTATTTTGTTATAGCAGCCCAGGTGAAGTAAGGCACCATATTACTTCCCCTTTTCAAATATCCTGTGGCTCGCTACATTGCACGTGATGGTGGCTACTCTCAGAAGGCTGCCACTGCTTACCTTAAACACTGTCTCCTGAGTCTCTACTCTCTAGCTCTTTCTGCCAAAGCACTTAGCATCTACCAGCTCCTAATGCTTCACCATTAATCATTACTTAGCACCTACCTATGTGGGTCTTTCCACTATTTTGACTGCCCCAAAACACAATCTGTATCTCCTCTTCTGTATCCTTCTCTGATGCTGTTAGCTCGCTGTGTCTCCTGACCTACTAGGACTTCAGGAAAGGATAGCTCTTTTCCCTTCCCACAATAGCATCCACTGCTAGGTGTCATTTGTTCTATTTCATAAATGAGAGCATTGGACACCATAGAGTTTAAGTAACTTTTAACATCACACAATGAATATGAGCCAGAACTGGAGTCCTTTTTCTGAGGACAACTCTCACACTGCATTACATTACTGCATTCATGTGTACTTTGTCTCTGTCCTACTATTTTATGATCACCATTATGAGAACCAAGCTATACTGCATTTGTTTTCAAATTGGTTTTCTCTAAAGATTAAGCTCTCAAGAGATAGCAATTTTTGTTTAATCTATGTTATATACTAGGGTACTCAGCATTAGGACTAGGTCCTGAGAAAGCACGGTTATCTCACTTGCTTAAATCTATCAAATCATGCTGAGGAGCCATACTGGGGGTCCTTGGGAAGAAGAAGCATTTTTTATTAAAAGTGTCTATACTTTCTGTCTTATCTCTCAGCTTCACAGTGAGTGTCATTTTCCCAGTCACATATGTAAAAATAGGGCAAAATGAACATGGAATTTTCCTAAGACCGGTTTCAATCTTTGATTCTCTGGTTTGCCAGAAATCCCCCACCCTTTTTCCTAGTTGTATTGTGTAATTTATGTTTGGAAAGCTTGAGATCTTCAGAGTGAAAATGCATGGATCAAATAAATATCTTCCTTATCTTCTCAGCAGCTCATGGCTTATATATGCTTCAACCCCCCTAGAGGAGATTCATCTAATGGGACAGTATTCAAGATCAATAATTCTAGGCATAGTGATTATACACCTCTGGGTCTCTCTCCTCTGGCCTTGCCAGAAGTCCCTGGCCTCTGTCTTGCTTCTTTGGTGGTGACAGCCATCCATCATCATTAACCTTCTTAGTACCTGAGCACTGGTTCTGTGTTTAGCTGGGAGGGAAAAGAGGTGGTATCCCACAGGAGATGTAACTGGGATCATGCGCAGGAATAACTGGACCCTGACCATAAGGAAGTATTGACAATTTTACCTACAAGCTTCCTGTGTAGGTTCATTTGCCTAAAACTCGCTGAATATCTTTTACTCTATCTTTGGTGAACCTCAATGATTTTGATTACTTTCCTTAAATGTACCTCGTTCTAGTTCTCACAGAATACTCTTATGACAGTTTTGGCGTTTTCAGAAACTTTGAGATACTGTATCTCTACTAAGAATTCTTTGCTAAGATGTGAAACAAACTCCAAAGAAAATAGTTTCACTGGCTCAAGATAGTGCAGAGCAAAGGAGAAATTTTGGTTTGGGACTACAGGATGAATTTATAGTTATCTGAGGCTCTAGCAGAGTCTTTCACTGGATGAATACTAAAATGAGAACTCCCTGACAGGCATGGTGGCACACACCTGTAATCTCAGAGCTTGGGAGGCTGAGGCATGGGGATCATTGCAAGTTTGAGACCAACCTGGGCTACAAATTGAGCTCAAGTTCAGCCTGAACTACATAGCAAGACCCTGTCTCAAAAAAGGCAAAATTATGGGAACTCAACTGACATATCTTTGCTTTATAACTATATATTCCCACACTGACTTTAGAAAACCAAAGCATTAGAAGACTGCTAAGATAAACAGGCACTGGGGGATGGCATTAAGCAAAAACAAAACAAAACTAAACTAAATTAAATTAAACTAAACTAAACGAACTAATTATAATTTTGGAGAAATTGAAAAGAAAAATGAAAGAATTCATTTCCAGGTTTCTTTTCAAGAACATTTGCTGCCATGTTATCAATCGTACAACTGATCCTTGTCATGAAACAAAACAACAGGATAAAATGTTCAGGTTCCTAGAGAGTGGACTATCTGGAAAGTAACTGCACACAAAACAGAACAGAAATACCTACCCCATGTCCATGAAATCAGCTAGTTTCCTCCTACCTTAGAGGAACATGCATTTCTACTCTGGGAAACTGGACACTCTTTCATCCTGTAACTTGTTTTTTGTTGTTGTTGTTGTTTTTCTCCGGTACCGGGAACTGAACTCACGACCTTGCGCTTGCCAGGCAGGCGCTTTTGCCACTGAGCTAAATCCCCAGCCCCTTCATCCTGTAACTTGAAAGTGCTACTGTAGTAGGTGCTCAAAATGGCTAGTTATTTTTCTGTAGGAGATCTAACTTCACATTTTTCATTCCATGTTGTCCCATCCCCAAAGGATTTAACACAGGCCAATGCTTTTGCCTTACAGATAGTACTCACTCTTAGTTCCAAGAATATAAATTTTATTTTGTGAAAGAAGAGTAGAGGGAACTAGATATAATATTCCTGTCAGTGGTTCATCTGAGAGCTTTCACTGATATTGAATCAATCATCTCCTATTCTCTGTGACTTTATTCTACTATTTCCTGTTCTTGCTAAAACAGCAATGGCCAGCCCTATCTGACACTTATTAGTCTAAATTTTGGACTTTAATTACTTATTTAGGTTTTCCCCATTTGTATCATATGCCTATACTTCTCTGCCTTATTTCTTTTATTTTCTTCTGGAAAAAAAAAAGCACATCTTCATTGCAGACTTGAATATACTCTTGTTTTCTAAGCATAGTATATTTTGAATGATTGTTTAAAAATTCTATCTGGATAATTTGCAAACATCTCAGGTATAAAGCCTCAAATATAAATTTTTTCCTATTCTTAAAAATCTGTACTTTCCCTACCCCTTTCTAATTTCTCAGTAAAGTTTTCATTCTCTCTGTCACAAGGTTGAAGGACAGAAAGTCATCTCTTACCATTGAGACTTGGGATTCAAGACATTGTTTTAGTCATCATTTTCAGTTTGTTCCATCTTACCTTGATCAATAACAAATAGTAACTGCATACTTGGGCAATGCTTAAATAACTAACCTGCAGATTTATATAACCTGCAGATATATAATCATTTCAGATTTATCCCCCTACATGTAATTCTTAGTGAGTTTGATTTTGGAATGTCTCTTCAATCTGTTTTCTATGTCTATTCTAAAAATGGGAATGGCTCTTGGTACAAAGAAGGGTATTGCTAGCTAACTAAGGGCCAGCCAGTGGTTTGGTGCAAGTTCATAGATACAGGATCAGTCAGAGGACACTACTGATGATTTACCCAGAGAACAGAGCAGAGAGCAGCCTTTAGGAAGGCCCGGTGTAGTCCAACTAATATTGCCAAGAAATCCAGCCAAGTGGTCTGAAAACAGACGTGCTCCTCTGTACTCTTGGTGTGGAAGGGTACTTTTGGACTCAAACTCTTGAGGGTTCTGAAGCCTCCAGGTCTCTGTTAAATTTATGCCCAGGCTAAAATAATGTTTATCTCATCTTATAAGTTTCCAAGTGTGTTGTGTGGAATAGAAGGCGGGGCTTTCCTTGAACTTAAATGGAGTCAGTTCTGTCCCTTCTAAATACTAAACAATGACAGAAGAAAGGAAGCAAAGAAGGACAGAAGGTAGGAAAGAAGGAAGGGAGGGAGGAAGGAACAGAGTAGGCTTAGTTAAGTAATTGTGACCACTAAGGCTAGTGTGATGGCTGAAAAGAAGAATTGTAACATCCAATTCTGGCATCACAACTCATTGCTTTTCTAATTGTAACCAAAGTAATCTACTCCCCTGTATTTTCCATTCATTATCTGTAAAAGTGGGATAACAATATAACCATTATTCAGTGGTTTTTTTTTTTGTGCCAGGAATCGAACTCATGACATCATGCTATTCTTCACTATTTTTAAAAGAGAGGAAATGAAATAATATAAAGCATTTGGCATAGTGCCTGGCACATGATACATGCTCAGATGAATGGCAGTGGTGATGGTGGTGACAGTGATTTTCTTCTCTTCTTTTTCTGGTGGGGGGTACCGGGGATTGAACTCATTACCTTGTGCTTGCCAGGTGGGTGCTTGTGCCACTGAGCTATATCCCCAGCCGCTGTCTTCTTTTCTTTCTTTCTTTTTATTATGTTTATTGGTATGATTTAGATATACATAATGATAACATTCATCATAGCAAATTTGTACCTGTACATGCTAGATCTTGATTCCTCTGTTTTTCCCCATTGGTTACAGTGATTTTAAAACTCCACTGAGACAGATTTGGACCCTCACAGAAACCCAAGATCTACTACGTCTAGGACACCCCGTCCTTCACAATAAGGTCATCTGGATTGCCAGCTTGATCCAGGTAATTTCCATGACATCACCCAGGAACTACTCCACTGCCTTAGTCTCTGAATTCCTCCTCATCTGCTTCCCTAACTTCCAGAGCTCACAGCACTGGCTGTCCCTGCCCCTCAGCCTCCTCTTCCTCCTGGCCATGGGGGCCAATGTCATCCTCCTGATCACCATCCGGACTGAGGCCTCCCTGCACGAGCCCATGTACTACCTGCTCAGCCTCCTCTCCCTCCTGGACATCGTGCTCTGCCTGACTGTCATCCCCAAGGTCCTGGCCATCTTCTGGTTTGACAGCAAATCCATCAGCTTCTCTGCCTGCTTCCTTCAGATGTTCATCATGAACAGTTTCCTAGCCATGGAGTCTTGCACCTTCATGGTCATGGCCTATGATCGCTATGTGGCCATCTGTCACCCACTGCAGTACCCTTCCATCATCACTGGCCAGTTTGTGGCCAGGGCTGCCACCTTTATTATAACCCGGAATGCCATCTTTTCTCTTCCTGTTCCTGTCCTCTCTGCCAGATTAAGATACTGTGCAGGGAATGTCATCACAAACTGCATCTGTACTAACCTGTCTGTGTCCAAATTGTCCTGTGATAACATCACCTTCAATAGGCTCTACCAGTTTGTGGCAGGATGGACGCTGCTGGGTTCAGACCTCATCCTCATTGTTCTCTCCTATGTTTTTATCTTGAAAGTTGTCCTAAGGATCAAGGTTGAGGGTGCTGTGGTGAAGGCTCTGAGCACTTGTGGTTCCCACTTCATCCTCATCCTCTTCTTCAGCACGGTTCTACTGGTTCTGGTCATCACTAACCTGGCCAGGGAGAAAATTCCCCCAGATGTCCCCATCCTGCTCAACATCCTGCATCACCTTCTTCCCCCAGCTCTGAACCCCATTGTTTACGGTGTGAGAACCAAGGAGATCAAGCAAGGAATCCAGAATCTGCTGAGGCGATTGTAAGAGCTATCCCGCCACCTTAGTAGTTGTTTATTAAAACACAGGGAAATAGGGAATTAATTTTATATTGGAGAGGAAAAATTAAAATTTTGTATCCTGGAATGAATTCTGATTTTTTAAAATCAATACTTTAGGCAACAATGGAAACAATTATTTGTGAATTTCTGTTTCCTGTTATTTCCAAGGAAACCTTCATTTTGTGGATTCCTTAGTTCCCTGGGAAGTTTCCTCAATCTAATCCATACTGAGGGTCTTGTCAAATCTTCACTGAATGGAGCAGAAATATGTAGGAAGTACAAGGAAATGTTTGATCACTAAAGAAACCAACGTTACATGGTCAGGAAACTGTTCATGATGATGCCTTTTGAAAGATCTGACTGTTTCTGATTTGCAACAAACATAGATTATTTTTCCCATCTCTGATTCAGCCCGGCAAAAACCTGCCTGATTTTTTTCCATGAGGGGATTGCTGGGGTGGAAGCACAGATGTTAACCCTAGAACTTTCACTCTTGTGCTTCACTGGATACCTCTTCTTTGGCCTCTTGGACATATTTGGTGTCCACTGGCTTTTCCAGTCCTCCTAGACTTGGTGTTATAGTCAGGCTTTGCAAGGGAATAGATTTAATAGAAGACACATAATTTTCAAGGATCCTGTCTTGGTTACTTTTCTCT